GTGTTTTGGAAATGAAACTGCATTTATTGGTTGCATTTTGTCTTTGATTTGTGTTGGAAATGAAACTGCATTATTGTTCATTTTGTCTTTGATTTTGTGTTTGGAAATGAAACTGCAATTTATTTTTCATTTTGTTTGATTGTGTTTGAATGAAACTGCATATTGTTTCAATTTTGTCTTGATTTGTTGTTTGGAGGAGAAATCCACTTATTGTTGCAGTTTGTCCTTGATTTGTGTTTGGAAATGAAACTGCATATTATTGTGGCATTTTTGTTTTGAATTGTGTTTGGAAATGAAAACTGCATTTATTGTTTCATCTTTGTCTTTGATTTGTGTTTGGAAAATGAAATGCATTTATTGTTTTAGCATTTTGTCTTTGATTTGTGTTTGGTAAATGAAACGCATTTATTGTTTCATTTTGTCTTTGGATTTGTGTTTGGAAGGAGAAACTCCACTTATGTTGCAGTTTGTCTTTGATTTGTGTTTGGAAAAATGAAACTGCATTTATTGTTGGCATTTTGTCTTTGATTTGTGTTTGGACATGAAAACTGCATTTATTGTTTCATTTTGTCTTCTGGGGAATTTGGGGTTTGGTTTTTTTTTGGAAGGCAGAAGACTGCATTTATTGTTTCATTTTGTCTTATTTGAATTTTGACAGCTTACTCACTTATTGTTTTGCAGTTTGTCTTTTTGATTTGTGTTTTGGAAATGAAAACTGCATTTAATTTGTTGGCATTTTGGTCTGTTTGACTTGTGTTTGGAAAGTGATAACTGCAAATTTATTGTTTCATTTTGTCTTTGAATTTGTGTTTGGTAAATGATAACTGCATTTATTCGTTGCATTTTGTTCTTTGATTTGTGTTTGGAAATGAAACTGCATTATTGTTGCATTTTTGTCTTTGATTGTGTTTGGAAGAAACTGCATTATTGTTTCATTTTGTCTTTGATTTGTGTTTGGAAAATGAAGACTGCATTTATTGTTTCATTTTGTCTTTGATTTGTGTTTGGAGGAGAACTCCCACTTATTGTTGCAGTTTGTCTTTGATTGTGTTTGGAATGAACTGCATTTTATTGTTGCATTTTGTCTTGATTTGTGTTTGGAAATGAAACTGGGCCATTTAATTGTTTTCATTTTGTCTTTGATTGTGTTTGGAAATGTAAACTGTCATTTATTGTTACATTTTTGTATTTGATTTGTGTTTGGAAATGAAACTGCATTTTGTTTCAATTTTGTCTTTGATTTGTGTTTGGAGGAGAACTCCACTTATTGTTGCAGTTTGTCTTTTGATTTGTGTTTTGGAATGAAAATGGCATTTATTGTTGCATTTTGTCTTGATTTGTGTTTGGAAATGAAACTGCATTTATTGTTTCTTTTGTCTTTGATTTGTGTTTGGAGGAAACTGGCATTTATTGTTTCATTTGTCCTTTATTTGAATTTTTGAGCAGTTTACTCACTTATTTTGTGCGAGGTTTTGTCTTGATTTGTGTTTGGAAATGAAACTGCATTTATGTGGCATTTTGTCTTTGATTTGTGTTTGGAAAATGAAAACTGCATTTTATGTTTGCATTTTGTCTTTGATTTTGTTTGGAAGTGAAACTGGCAATTTATTGTTGCATTTTGTCCTTTGATTTGTGTTTGGAAATGAAACTGCATTTATTGTTTTCATTTTGTCTTTGATTTGTGTTTGGAGGAGTACTCCACTTATTGTTGCGTTTGTCTGAATTTGTGTTTGGGAATGAAAACTGCATTTTTGTTGCATTTTGTCTTGATTTGTGTTTGGAAATGAAAACTGCATTTATTTGTTTTAATTTTGTCTTATATTTTGAATTTTGAGCAGTTACTCCACTTATGTTGCAAGTTTGTCTTGAATTTGTGTTTTGAAATGAAATACTGCATTTATGTTGATTTTTGTCTCTTTTGACTAAATTATTAAATATATAGTCTAAAGTCAGGGTTTTTTTCATTTCTTCGGGGAGTGGTTTCCCAAACCTTTTTGTTTACGGTTATTGTAAATATTTAAAACTTGTCTCATCTTTGCCATGGAGAAGTGTCTATACTTGTCGTCATATGACATTTCATTTGCTTCACCACCTTGTGGTTGGTTTAAGTCTCTTAACATTTTTATACAACCGTCAATGACACCAAGAGCAGAATGGTTTTGGTCGACAATGAAATATTGGTTTACATTTTTTGAACGCAGATAGTTTTTTACATCATCTGATTTGAAAGAACTTTCACAGTCAGATGTCAGTTTTGTTGGATGGTATTTGTCAACGAATATTGTCAAAGCTGCTAAGATCTAAAATATTTGGACTGTAATGGTATGGCTTCACAGTATCTTGTGTTTTGACCGACAAATATTAGCCAGTATGGTGGTCCATCTTCTCTATACCTCGGAATGTTTTCCAAGATATCCATAAACCAAGCATTTGGTGAACTAAAGATTTTTATCATGAGTGCTTTCTTTGTCGCTTTAGAAACATAGGGGTCCTTGTTTGGATTCGTCATTTTTACCTATAAGAAATGGGTTTATTTGGCGCATTAGCAGGAGTTGCATCCAGATTTTTGCCCGCAGTGGGAACAATAGCCAGAGGTGTATTTGGAGTTGGAAGGAAGATTTTGAGTACATTAGGTATACTTAAAGAGAAAGCACAACCTATTATACAAACTGTACAGAAAGGTTGGGATGTAGCACGAGATGCAGCAAATCTTATTCCAAATCCTGAAACAAGAGGAAAAGTTCAAGGATGGATGGACAATGTAGGAAGACAAGCAGGAAACTATTATAACAAAGCAAATGACTACTATAACCAAGCAGGACACTATATGGACCAAGGTGAAAGATTCTTTAACAGAGGATATAACCATGCACAACAATGGGTAAACAATAACCAACCTCAACCGCCTCAAACGTGGGGAATGTAAAGTTTTTTACTGAGATGAAATGAACAATACAGCATTGAGACAAATGGGTTCAAGATGGATTTGTCGGCTTCCAGCAGTTACACAACGTGTTTGTCAAGTTCTTCCTATACCTCAGGAAGTTTTAGACCGACTTAAAAAACCTAAACAACCAGTTGAAAACAAACCAAACTAAAATTTTTTACTGAGATGAAATGACCGAAGAAGTTGAAACGGTAGATTTGACACCACAAACAAAAAGTTCAGAACCATTGTCAAAACCTGTCAAAGAACTTACAGATGAAGAGAAAAATTCAATAATAGAAAGTGCCAGGTCTGGAAATACAAACCCTAACTATAAAGTCACTTTTCATAGAAATGGAACGGCAAGTATCTCAAAAAAGAAACAGACTCTCACAAATAAAATATTGAAGTCTGAAGGAGCTTTCGAGACAACAGATGGAAAAGTTTACTTCACTGACCAACAGTTCATTATAGAACATCTCATTGACTTAGAGTCGAAATATTCTAAACTTTACAACAAACACAAAAAGTTGAAAGGAAAACAAAAACAAATGGCATAATGATATTTATGAAGATGTTGACAACACAACTGTTCCTGCAGGTGAGGTAAAGTCAGAGGAACCGAAAAGTGACGAAAAACCGATAGAAGAAGAGAAACCAAAAACTGAAGATAAACCAAAACCAAAGTTTAGTTTGGAAACTAAACCAAGTCAACCTTCATTAGCTGGTATGGGTTGGCGTCAAAGACTTATGGCAGCAGGCGGTTATGTTAAGTAAAGAAAAAAACATTTTTTTATTTTTATAAAAATGCCCCCATATAGAATGGATAGAAAGTCTGCTAGAATAAAAGCAGAGTTGCAAAGATATGGTTGGAGAGTTTCGAAGAAGTTTAAATATAGGAAGGGAAGACCCATAAAAGTCTATGACAAACTGGCTGGTCTGACCTACGAAATGGATTTGGAAACAGCACGTGCAAATTATCCAAACAGACTAGAGAGGTTAGAAGAAGAACGTCTTATGGACATGCCTTTCGATGTTAGTGAACCTCAAGTTGAAGGACACGACGGCTTTGCCAGATTCTACTGGAAACATGACGAACAATTGCATCCTTTGAGAAGGAAAAAAGGTAGTGCAGAGGATGGTCATGCTCCCATGGAAAGAACAAGATATGCATATGAGAAGTATCGTGAAGTTAGAAGTCAAATTACATCTGGTCGAACCTTTACAGTAAACTTTGACGAAGGAAAGAACAAAGAAGGCTTCATGGGTGTACTTGCTGCAATTCAAGATGGAAATAAGAAAGGATACAATCTCAGATTGACCATAACAGATTTGGATGGTCACATTTACTATGCACATGGCAATGTCACAACAGCTGCAATGCTTCTTGACGCTTTCAAGACTACAAAGAGAGAACAAATGGTTGACTCCGACTCAGACATTTTGAATGCAATTGAAGGAATTGCAAGTGTCAAGTTCGAATGGTACCAACCTAACCCTCAAGCAGTCAGACAACATGCTGGATACTTCCCCTTCATAAATAAGTCTGACATTGACTTGACAAGGTATGGAATTTACAATTCAATTGAAACAATTGTCAACGAACCTTGCATTCTTACATGTCTCAGGAACTCTGGTCTTGTTACAGAAGAGAAGATGAAGTATCTTGAGTCATGTGTGAAGACAAGGTACATTCTCAGAGGTCAATTGGCAAAAATTGCACCGTTGGCAAATGTCAATATCCGAGTCAGCATACCTACAGCTAAAGGTTCTTCACATGACGACTATGTTGTTGAGTTCAATTTACCATGGTTGAAGATTGTAATTGTCCACAACCACTTCATGTTGAACGAAAGTCTTACAAACCCATTGTTCGGAAAAGGCAAGTGCAACATTGTCAGAGCTGTAAACATTCTTTTCGAGAAAGGTTTGTTGGAACCAATTCCAGATGACAAGCTGACAGAAACTTTTGTACCAAAAGACGAAACAAACTTTTCACTGTTAGCAAGACCAAAAGTTGTTCCAGACAAAGTTCTAGTACAAAAGAAGTACACAATTCCACAAGGAGTTGGATTGTTCGGATACCAACCTGAACCAGAAGAACTTCCAATGAGGTTGCAAGAACTTCAAGATGCTATAAACAAACTTCCATTGAGACATCCAATTGACGTCAAATTGTATTGGAGAGCATCTGAGTTAGGTCAGAAGGTTTTATATGAAACAGGTTGCTTCGACGATGTTTATGAGATAACAGGAGAAGTTTCTCAGAAGATAAGAGACTCACTTGAATTTCCACAAACTGGACCAATTGGTTGCGACAAGTTCGACTCAAACGAAAAGATATACTATGTCGACCTTAACGCTGCATACATGAGGTTTGTCCAATATATTCCGACTGGAATTCCAAACGAAGATGGTGAGTTTCCGGGAAGGAACTATACAGTTGGAAAAGTCATACAACAACTGTATGATATTAGGAAAGCTTCAAACCCCAAACTTGCAATGACACTCAAATTGCTTATGAATTCGACATGGGGATATTCCATTAAGAAACCTTCAAGAGATGAAGAGTAAACATTATGAGAAGGTCGACAACTTTGTTGAAAGGTTTTCTCCTTTTGTTTTTGAAGTACGAATTCACTCAAGGTCAAAGTGGCTTAGTAACCACATTAAAACCTATTTCGAACATTGGTCTTACCCTCAGTTCGCAAAAGCAGTCCTTGACAACTACAACAAATTCTTCTCCGAAGTCAAAATCAAAGTGAAGGTTTACTATGAGAACATTGACGCACTCATGACGAACGAAGAAGGGTTACAACAAAACTCATTGAAATGGGTTTAGTCGGTGAGATGGGTCAATTTCAAATTGGACAAAATTTTCACCGAAGTTCATGTTCCTCTCCAAGCGTAAGTACTGGGGCATACTTGAAGACGGCACAGAAATAAAACATTGCATGAAATAAAAAATTTTTATTCGAATTTGAATTAAAATGTGGGAATTCTTGGGAACGGGAAAGGCTTATTTACTTGAGGAACAGGTAAAGGTGTGGAGGTGGAGTGGTGGCAACCAGTCCATTTTATATTCCTTCCTAGCTAATTTCCGTTTAATTTCATGGTCGCCCTCGGAGTCTTTGAATCGGACAGGTCGAGTTACACCATTCTTGGTCTCAAACTCATATATAACCTGTTTGTCTGTATTTTCATCGACTATGGCACGAGACACGAACATTGACAACGGACAAAAAGTGTCATTTCGGATGGTCACGCAGCCAATCGCATTCGAGCACTTCGAAGAAGCCTTACGTTCCAAGGGAGAGGGTGTCTGGTGCAAGGCAGAGGTCATGAAACTCTACGAGCAGTACATCCTCAATGCCTGGGAGGACAAATCGTCCTTGGATTGGCAATTCTACCAACTCCTCTGGGACGACCTCCTACGCAACTGGGATAACGAAAGAGCCCAATTCAAAGGTCGGGAACTAATTTTGCAAATTACCCTTAATTTAACATACTTATCCAAATAAACACCTAAATTTACTTGGGGTTTCCCCCTAAAATAAAATTTTTTACTCTTAGAACACTCGAGGTTCTCCTTACGGTTGTGAGCTTGTCACCGTCAATGTGTCTGACCTTCGTCTTCTTGCCTGGATTTGGAACCCATTGAATTGCGACAAGCTTGCCCATGGAGATTGAACCGCGATTCCGAAGGTTAAGGTTCAAGTGTCCCAAGTTGTTGAGGACTGGTGTAAGAACCTTGCCGGTCTCCCTGTTGCGGATTTGGTATGGGTAGGGTTGGGAAATTTCGTAACCGTCATCGCAACAAGGGTTGCCATGTAGCGGCTTCAGGAACTTCTTCGTGTTTCTCTTCTTCCTCTTCTTCCTCTTCTTCCTCTTCTTCCTCGACAATTCCTTCTTCAATTTGGTACTCACGAAGTACGGTGTTGCATGTTCTGTCCTTTCGAGTACCTTCCAGATGGCGTCTATCTCTTCGAAGAAACGGTAGATGAGTCTGGCAAGGTCTCGGTTCTCTCTCGTAATTGCGCAAGGTTCCGAAATCGTTCAGGCATTTCTCATTGGAAGCTTGGTTCATGAGGACATCGGCTTTGAGATTGGTCATCTCTGTCATAAGACTACTTTGGAGAGTCTTAATGGTGTGTCAGATGAGCTTTCAATTGGGCAATTTGAATTTGAACTGGGCGCTTGTCTGGCAACCTGAAAGGACATCTGCTATTGTGTTCGGCTTCGGTGCTTGTTCGGACATCGAAAAAATGAAGTGGTTTGAGAAGGCGTTTTACTTCAAAAAGCTTGTTATGACAGTTATGTCATACAACAAGTTTAAAATAATATCTTGTTCTTCTTCTGAACGTTGTTGTCTCTTCCGATAAAAGTTTCGAACATGAGAACCAAAAAACGTTTTTTGAGATTCGGAAGAGTTCAGCAAACGTTCATATTCCGGATATGTGGGAGCAGTTCGAAACATCTGAGCTGACTTTCGGACAAAATTGGGACAATGTCAAAAATTCATCTTTGGTCGGACTGCTTGAAGGTAAGTCCCTTACATGTAAGTAGCTCTGGTAAAGTCTTCTCATTTCTGCTAACTTTTGGAGTATAGCTTCGTAGTTTAGAAGTTTTAATTTTAATTGTCTTATTCCACTCTTGACATCTAAACGGTAACTATCCATGAGGTCAAGAGTAGCTTTGGTAGCTTTAAGTGGAGCTATTGTTCCTTGACTTCTGCAATTTTGGTTGCAATTGTGGTTTGAGCTCCTTCAAGTTCGCCGTCTATGTCGTTCTCAACGCCTTCAACCATGGCTTGAAACTCTTCATCGGTCCATTGAGATTGGTGTGGACGAATTTAACTTGCTTCATTCAAAAAATGAAAAAAAATGTTTTTACTCAAAACGTTAAGGTTGACTGAACTGGTTGATGTCGCCTTCACAGGTTATGTAGAACGGCTGACCCGAGAAGTGAAGGAGAGACTGAATTGCCAATTTCATATGGTAGGGGTTCTCCTTGTTTGGTATTTTTATCCAAGGACGTTTGTTTAGGAACTTAACAAGAGTTTCTCTTTTGGCGTCCTTTATGTCGTCGAAAGGAGTTTTTTCTGGTATTTGAATTGGAATTCCAGTCGAAGTCTCGAGATTCAAGCAGCCCTTCCAGAAATAGCGGTGAACTTGACCTTGGGCTTCATTACCCTGCGCAAGTACTGCTTAACAACTTCATTTATCTCTATAAGGTAAATTGCCTCGTCAAATCCTTCTGGCATTCCGAGTCCTTCCATCCGACAGGAAAATATTTTCCCGACAACTTGAAAAATTTTCCGGACAAAGGGAAAAAATTTTCCCGACGACAGGAAGAACTCTTCCAGTTGTCCGTCCGTAAACCATTCAAATTTTCGAAAATTGAGAACTTTTTGGTCGAACTTCAGAAAAAGTTTTCCTTCCGACAGAAAAAGTTTTTCTTCCGACAGAAAAAGTTTTTTCTTCCGACAGAAAAAGTTTTTTCTTTCCGACAGAAAAATATTTTCCATCCCACAGGACACAAACGGATGACTACGTACCACCAACCGAGCCCATTCCCAAACCAGAGGAACCTAAAAGCACCAGCCCCTGCCACCTCAGTTCCAGCAAGTACCTCCGATTTACTACCAATTTCCACCTCATAGGTTACTACCCACCAACAAGGCTTCCCGAACTACCTCCTCAGCCTATGCCTTACTTCCCCAACCCTTGGATGTTATGCAAAACCCTGCCCCACAATTCCAATCTCAATCCAAGAGAGACCAAGAGTTCGAAGAAGGTCTGAACCGTTTACGCAAAGAGTATGCCACACCCCTATGGAAGACGACAGGCTTTCAGTCTCTTCCCTCAAATCGACCGATTCGACTCGTACCACAGATTCGGTTCGTGACCGTGAAGACTACCTTCAAGCAGTCTGAGAGACTCTTCATCCTACAATCTTTTACAGTTGGAGCTCTCAAGAAACATGCGCAATTACGAAGGTCAGACACCAGCTGGAGACCGCAAAACAGATGTACTCGCAAGAGCCGTTCCAACTGGTCAAGACAAAGACTGAGATAGTCGACTTCATTCTTGCAGCTTGCCCATACAAGTAAAAAAATAAACAATTACGAGTTAAACTTTTTATTCTTTCTTTTCTGAGTTGTTTAGAGCTGGTTTCTCTTGTAGGAACCTTTCGTTACTCTTCCATGGTCATGTAATTGCGAATTTTTGTACGCAATTCCAGTTCGTTGTTTTTGAACCTGATGTATGTAACGCTTCCATCCCTCCTCAGGGAAGTAAGCTGCTAACATCTGACCAAGTTTTCTCGGTGACTCGGAGCTCATAAAAAATGTCACTTTTAAACGTTAAGTTTTTAGTCTTATTTTACCCTTTGTTTACCCTTTGTTTGTCAAGTAGTATTGGAGTGCAATTTCTCCAAATTCTCTGTGTCGGAGTTCTTCAGCATTTTCCAAGGTGTACCTGGAGAACTCAAGAAGTTGTCAAGAAGATACTGCCATGCTGCTCTTCTGAGTTCGTCGGTATTTTGGAAGTGTTGCACCTTCGAGTCTTCTGACATGAAAAAAATGACACTTTTTCAGCAAAAATAATGTTTAGGTGAAGTGTGAGATCTCACCTGTTTTTTCACCTCTTTTTCTCACCTCTGAATTTGTCATGAATTTTCCCGAAATAAAAAATAAAGTTAGTTTTATTTTTATTTATTTTTTTATCCGGAATATAAAGACAGATATGTCAACATCAGAGAACACAACAACAGTTATAGTCCATGAAGCCATAAATGAAGAATACGAGTACATACAGTTTAACAAACAAACTCCGTCTCATTC